TATTGCTAAACGTTCAAGGCCCCTGTGTTGAATCACGTGTCTTATGAACTACGTTTGTCCACTTTGAAAATGTTGCCCACACAGACACGACTTTTCTTTTAGGTGCAACCTGACAACGCTTGTCTTAACATTCTGGTTCTAACCTTTCTGTTTTGCCATTTTGTCTACTGGTACTCATACAAAGAAAGTAAATATTGACAAACTCTCTTGGCCAATTGTTCACGTGCAATGATGGCCATAGCCTACTTGGAAAAGCTGTTTTAACAATAAACATAACAGTTGAAGCCAAATCAATGAAGATTCAGTTTATATTAGCATTTTGCAAAGAAAACTTTCATTTTTTAAGTTCATTTTTCCCAAAACTATAACATTTTCTGTAGCATCGAAATTCTCCAAAATTTTGGAAAAACGGTTGCATCTACGGCCTCAACACAACATATATTATTACTTTGAATGTCTCAGCGAAAAATGTCCAATAGATAAGATTTCTTGAGTCGAGACTTTGCATGCAATCTTTTTGTGGTCCAGGCTCTTGCATATACATGTTTGGTTAAATAATTTGCCGTTCTGTTTAAATGAAAAGCAAAAGAAGAAAAAACAACTAACAACCTGAGTATAGATCTACGTATAAGTTAATTTTACAACAGTTCTACTGCAACGTCAGTGAAGAAACAACCCAATATGTCTAGAGACAGTATTCAGTAAGAGAAAGAAAGTCCCAGACAGATCGTAAAACTAAGAAATTCACACACATTTAACTTTTTGTGTCTTTATTTTTCTACATGAAAAAGTATTCAAAATAATACAATTTTATGAGTAATCGTTTTATAAACTATCCCCGTTTTGAGTCTTAATCATAAACTACTACTTGATTTGTGTTTTATCGTTCTCTTTTTAAATCCTTATAGATCTAATAGATGTCAAATGTGTTTTAAATACTAATTAACCAATTCTTCCGAAAAGAATTGAGTTTGCACGAGGGTTCTCTTACTTTTCTGGGAAGAATCAATGCTGTTGTTCTGTTGTCGATGTTTTTGATGTTATGTTGTCGCTGTTGTTTTTGTTCACATTGTTATTGTTGTTGTTGTTTTTGTTATTATTATTGTTGTTGTTGTTCCTGTTGTAGTTGTTTTGTATTTGTTAAGAGGGGGGGGGGGGTAGATCAGAATGTCTGGAACTCAGAATGTATTGTGGTGTCCATAGTAGTCTGTGTGTGTTCAGCCATTTAATTTGCAGCCTGCAAGCTTCTGCATATTAAAATATTCTTCTTTCAGTCTATATGTTTAACTTATATTTTATGACTGTTTTGTGAATAGCTCTCTCGATACTTCTAAACACACCCGTTGATATAATTATAAATTAGCTAATTGCTAGTGATGCTAATTAATTGTTAGTGTTACCTTCATAGCTGCAAAAACTAGAAATCCCATTGGAACATAAAAGGCAAAGTATTCAATGCTACCAAAAAGCCAAAATTGTCTTCCGAAAATAGAGTGGAGCTATCGTTTGCCACCCACTCTCCCACATTGTATTGACGTCCAGTACTTCCGGGTGTCACCTGTTTGACTCAAATGACGTGAATAATAAAATGAATTAAAACAGTAGCTTGAGAAAATGATACCTTATTCAGAAGCAACAGAACTGAACAAAAAGGGCCCCCACGTCCTCCGATCCAATACAATCCAAAATAAGACAGAGCCAAAATTCCAACTGACCAAAAACGTTCCATTAGAACAGCAGTGTATTTTCTGTTACGATTTCCAACCACCAAGTTGCATGCATTTAATTTCTTTTAATACGTCCCCCCCCCCACCCGTAAAACATCAAGGACTCACAGGTGTAAATAGCTCATTGTACCATCAACAAAAGAACTCTCAATCTACTTTGGCGCAGTTCGTGGATTATGGTTCGAATTCCAGGGCAGAAGACAGTTTTTCACCAGCATAATCGGAACAGCTGTTTTACGAACTATCCTGTGTGAACATTAACAATGTCTCCCTTTCTTGGTGCTCAAAAACTATTTTACAAGACTAACAATGTGCAGTAACGTGATAGAAAAAGTTGAATTACTGAGAACCTATTTTCCCATTTGCTGGACTTGAGCTTTAATCCTTCACGTTCGGACTCCTGCATGCATCCCGTCAACTCCCCCGACTACTTCAGGTCCTGCAGCATGGCTAGCTTCCATGGCTTCATGTTCCAAGGTAAGATGGCTGTGTTTCCCCATTAAAGAGAAGTGAATGGTACACAGAAAAATACACTTGGATAGAACTGTTTAATAGTATTAATGCGCCAGAGTAGAATTTTACAACAGTAACATACTACACTTGAACAGAATGATTTACGGCACTATACATTTGAACAGAGTTATATAACAGAAACATAAAACTTTGTTATTTCTGTACTCTGTATGTGTGTGTATGTGTGTATGTGTGTGTGTGTGTGTGTGTGTGTGTATGTGTGTGTGTGTGTGCGTGTGTGTGTGTGTATGTGTGTGTGTGTCTGTCTGTGTGTGTGAGTGTGTGTTAATTCCATAAATATACAAAGATGAAACGTTTAAAGATTGTCTACCTTAGTAAACATAACAAGTGTGCGAGTTACATCTAGACTTGCCCATTGTGTTATTGTAACGTGTTCCCTTTCGTGTATTTAGAGGAAATTTTTATTCGCTTAAAATTCTCCGATGTCTCAACGCATCCACATATTTTCTCGTTATTTCTGATGTATCCAAATGATAATTTCTGTGTTCTCTTAAGTTTTCTTTCTAAAAAAAATTGTTAAAAAAAACAAAGAAGCCAAGTTTGTCTCAATATCCTGAAGGATAATAATATGCTCTCTTTTTTGGTTGTACAATTATCTCATGCAACGGCTCATTTGTTTTATCGTTCAAGATGTGAATTTCTCAAAATGGAGAATTAATATTATACCCTGGAAGAGAGCTTTCAGACTAGGGTAGATCATTGAGACATGATGTTATAAAAGCTGAGAGCTGGGAGGAAAAAAGAAAGAGGGTTAAATGCTCATGCCACCCTTTATTTTGGTCTTGTGTCCCCATTTACTATCAGAGGTTTGTAAGTTACTCATCTTTAGAAAAATTATTTATGTCAACATGATATATTTTGTTGTTATTAGTAGGGAATGGGAAATGTGTCCAGCTGATTAAAATCTCATTTTCCGTTTTGACCAGATGAGACAAAATTAGTGGTTTCTTGTCGCATCATTTTTGCATCGCATCATTTTTCATCTGTACTTTTAGAAACATATACATGTCTAAAACAGAACAGTGCTAGAAATTATAACCGTTAACTCTTTGAAGACGTAAAGGACACATTCGTCCGATTAGCAGCAGAGCGAAGACAATATTTCAGCACATATCGAACCATCATGCACAAATCAGAAACACGAGTTTGCATATTTCATAGCACGCATAATGTTACATGTCTTTTTCAGTTTCAAGTGAAGAACACAAAATCAACAATGTTATTTGAACGTTTAAGTTATGTCCCAAAATGCATTGTCGAAGGACCAGACCAGAATACGCGTCTTCAATGAGTTAAAAATGTTGCGCACTCTTTATATTTTTCTACTTGTAGCTTTTATTTATCCATCGTTTATGATTTACTGCAGTGATCAGAGGAATGATGTAGAACAAATTTTCCGTTAGAGATGTTAACAAAAATTTGACGTATTGTATTTAGATAGATAGATAGATAGATAGATAGATAGATAGATAGATAGATAGATAGATAG